CAGGAACGAAAGCTCCTTTTAGACCTCTTCTTGCCATTTTAGCATTTACAATTCAGTTTGTTACACATTCTGTGAAGAATAGAAGAACGAAACTTGAAATCTGTCTTAATATTAGACTTGCTTGCAATGAGGATTGTTTTTAACTCAGTAACCGTAGAAATCATCTTTCAAAAATAGGTTCTTTTTGTATCCCCTGCTGCTAGTCGTCTGCCTTGGTGGTGCTTGTGCAATAGACCCCGGATGGTAGCAGAAGCCCCCGGGGGGCGTGATGGGAGCAGGCCGCTTTCTCACCACTGCCCCTTGCCTGTGTCTTCCTCCTCACCATGCTGCCTTTGTTAGACCTTCACTGCCTCTGTAGCTTTTTGTCATGAATGACCTTACCTGTTTTGACACCGAGGGCACAGAGCAATGGGGCGGCAACAAGAGTACATCTCCCTCTTGTTCCTTGTTTGACAGTGGCAGATACTGGTTGGCAGTTAAGCCAAATGTGGCCCAAGAGATAGGGGCCCTTATCTCATATGAGGCATCTTTTATTTAGAAAGTTAGTGCGAGGCAGAAAACTACCTCAGACTGACTGTTAGTTTTAAAATTGGCTTCCTGGGAGAAAAATTGCCTTGTATCACATTTGAACTTGAGGGCTAGGATTCATTTAGTCTCCAAACAGACTCTTCTCCTGGACTGTTCCTAACAGTTCAATTTGCTGTTACCCTTCCCAGTTGTAGGTTCCAAAAATATTTGTAAGTGCTCTAATTTCAGCATTTTAATACATATAGAAAAGAGGGGGTGTGCAGTGAAACTTTGAGGAACATGTTGTTTATATTTTGATTGAATGATTTGCAAGTTAACGTGGCACCAGAAGAAAGAAAGTGATTGACAGTGGAGAATGTACTTAGTGCCAACAACCTCTGGTCACCATGGCCATTGCCCTGGAAACTATCGATTTTTCTCTCTTTGCCACTCTGCAGACTTGGTTAATCAATGAAGAGCCTCAGTCCTGCCTCCTGGATATTGGTCTGGTCAATTGCTTCTCTCTTCCTCCTTCGCCAGTTGCTTGATTGGAACCCTCACCTCTCATAGATGCTGAGTTTCCTTCCTTCAGTCATTTTTTTCTTTCCAATCCATCCTTCGTATTTGAGCCCCCTGACTTGGTTCTTCAAATAAAACCTTTTTTTTTTTTTTTTTTTTTTTGCGGTACGCGGGCCTCACTGTTGTGGCCTCTCCCATTGCAGAGCACAGGCTCCGGACATGCAGGCTCAGCATCCATGGCTCACGGGCCCAGCCGCTCTGCGGCATGTGGGATCTTCCCAGACCGGGGCACGAACCTGTGTCCCCTGCATCGCCAGGCGGACTCTCAACCACTGCGCCACCAGGGAAGCCCCAAATAAAACCTTTTGATGACTTCCCCCTTTCTACAGAGTAGCCCAACATTTTCATCAGTGCTTACGTGCCTGCCTGCCTGGCTGGCCCGTGGTCCAATACTCCTTTCTTAGCCATACCCTACCAGAACAGGTGTGAATGTTCCCTTGACGTTAGTAATTTACCCCGTGATGTTTCCCCTGCCATCAGGCATCCCTGTGGCATTGCCTTTCTTGTCTGTTGAGTGCACTCGACTTCAGGACCCAGCTCAAGTATCATTTTCTCTATGAAGCCTTTCAAGACTCCTTATCTTCTACACCAGGAAGGATATCTTATTCATTGTTTCCTTAATGTCTCGCAGGTGCCTGGCACATAGAACATAGTCAACATATGTTTGAGGCATTAATTACTTCTATCTATAGACTTAGAATAAAATTATATTATGTAAATGTGAAGGTTTTAAATTAATTTTTTTCTGCCAAACAATAGGTTAATCTGTTCTTAGCAGTTAAGCCAACATGAAGTCAAATATGTAATAAAATTTTGCAAATCTTGGGATATGCAAACACCTTAAATGTTAGCCTTTAAAATTATCCCTGAAGAGGTAAGTGCCTTTACGTAATAGGATACCAGTAAATATTTGTCGTGATACGATTTCCCCCTTGTCTCTCAGTATTCTCTGTTACAGCCTCACTTAGCCTGCCTGTTCTTGGCGTAGACTCTGTGTAACGTGGAGTGCCTCAAGAAGGCAGGTTTAAACGTTGGAGAGTGAAGGTCGTCTAGAGAGAATCAGCTGTAGGTGCTAGATATTCTAAATTTATCATCTGTGATTATGCTGTTTATGTGTTATTTAACATATACCTTAAAGCTAATAAAATTTCTGATAATTACATTTTGGCTTTTTGAGATTAGAACACTGTTCTCAACAGCAGACTGTTTTGATTGTTGTAACTTGGGGGAGGGGCGGAGTGCTGCTGGCATCTAGTGGGTAGAGGCCAGGGGTACTGCTGAATAGCCTACAGTGCACAGGACAGCCCCCATGACAAAGAAATTTCTGACCCAAATGTTAATAATACCAAGGTCGACAAATCGACTTAAAACTATCTACAGAAATAGCATTAGCTGTGCAAGTTCAGTGGTTTTTTATAGTTTTGTATATGATATTTTTGATATGTTTATTTCTCATCTTAATAACATTTTAAGTTTCTTGGAGTTTGGAAAGTGCGTTACAGTACTTTGAGCTTCCTTTGCTAATTAAGCATAGTTCTTTTCACATAATATATGCTAAATAAATATTTGAACTATTGTAATTGATAAATGAAAAGGATAATGTTTATTTTCAAAGAACATCTTTCTGTACACTTGGGGATACCGATTAGTTCCATTCCCATTTGTGTGTTGCATCAGAAGCCCTGGAGAGTTTCCCAGCCACAGTGCGTGGACATGGGAGTCTCTGCTGCGGGCAGCGAGCCCTTGTTGTTACTAGTGAGCATGTGCTAGGGCAAGAGAGAGATCTGAAAACCCCTGACACATTTGCTGCATGTCAAATTCCAGCTTAAACAGCTTTAGTGTTGAATTTTGTTATATTTCATTTGTCTATTAAAGGTAGATTTCTGTTAGATAGATAGCACTTTGGTCTAGATGATTTTACTTCTGAAAAAGGCATGTAAAAGTATATAATTTAACATTTATTTATTACTGAATACTTTGAGTAATTCAAACTGGTTGTTTTCTCTATTCTTATTACTAAGGTTTTCTTATAATTGGAAAATATGCTCATTATAAGCTTTTCTTCAAAGAGATCAATTTGGCTTACCGTAGTAAAGATTGGCAACTTTAATGAAAATTTAAAAACATAAAATACCATAAAGGCATTGAGTTGAAGTATTGAAAATGTTTGAAGGATTCATTTCTAATAGTGAATCTCTGTTCCCTCTCCCTGGAATCTTAATATCTGTTTGTTTTTAAGAACTTACCAATTCTTTAGGTTTTGCTTTCAGTACAAATGTTCAGATCTGACTGAATTTCGTGAGGGAGTTATGCAAATGAAATTAGAGAGTATTTCAGGCTATCATATGAAAGAAGAATATTTGGAAATAAGGATAAGTTTGACTGTAGATTAGTATTTAGGTAAATATTAAATTGGAAGTGATTTTGCATTTAGGTAGTATAATTTTTAATTATACAATATAATAATGTTTTTATCTAGAAAAAAGCAGAAGAAGCTCATAAAATATTTGAAGGTCTTGGCCCAAAAGTTGAACTGGTAAGTAAGAAATTTCTTTTTTCATGTCTAGTGCTCTTTTTGTAGCAGTTTTTCTTGGGATAAAATGGAATACAGTCATTTACTTTGGGGTGAGAGTGATGTAGCTGGGCAGTAAGGGTGATAAGCTTGAAGTAATGGGCATGAGCTTGGTTACCTTTGCAGAAGCATTTTCCTGATTGTGTTTTTGCCTGAGCAGCCATTTAATCAGTAGGTTAGAAGGAGAAAGAAGAACAGAAATAGAAAGCTCTTTGAATCATACTGTTAGGGTAATATTGGTGTTAAATCCTCCTTTGCCTTTGAGATTAAAAAAAATCTATGAATGAATTTATTATGGGATACAGTGGATTTATGAACTTTCTTAGAGCAGTGGCATTGTTAGAAGATGGGGTGGACAGAGTTATTCAGGGAACCTGAGTCTGGAGGTTTTGGTCGGGCGTCTGTTGTGTAGGCCCAGTAGTACTGGACCTTGGCTACCACTGAGATAGAAATTGTGTCTTTGTCTCTTCATAGATGATGTACAACATTTTGTATATAAATGTTTGATTTATTTTATAGCCACTCTATAACCAGCCATCAGATACCAAGGTGTATCATGAGAACATCAAGACGTAAGTATTGATCATCTTTGGAGTTCTTCAGTTAAGGACCGTATATTCTATAAAGAGATCATTTTTATGTTATCTGCTGACATAGTATTATAATATAGTGTAGGTGTGTTTTAGATTTGTGTAATTTGCTGTCGTTTTACTATATGTTATCTTCCTCTGGCTTCTTGGGGGTTGGGGTAACAGCTTTGAGTTTCCGAGGCCAAAAAATGAAATAAATTATTGCATAAAACTAGCTGGTTTTATAATCTGCTAGTAAAAAAGGTGGATACTTAACATTGAAATGGCTTACCTTGAGGCTTGAATTTTTTGCCTCCTGTTTTGTCTTTTTTTCAGTGGAGTACCTGCAAGGCGCATGATGAAGTAAGATAATGAAGCTTTTTCATTTAAGACTAGTGATGACACCGTCCCCCACCAAGCCACATCTGCCATTGCAAAGTAGAAGTGCCACGGATCATTTTATCATTATTCAAAATCCTATTCTAGGGAAATCCCTTCCATGACTCTTGCTAATGACGGTATTTGTAGACCCTTCTGCCATTTCATTTCCTGGTGCCTTGGAAGCGCTCAGCCACCTCATGTGGGTGAGGAGACTGCTCCAGGTTGTAGTTTGCTTAGCCTTGCTCATCCCAGACACCAGGCCTTTATGGATGCACATTTTGGAATGAGAAAATAAGTGAAAAGAAAACCTAATTTACTGATCTGATTGAAGTAAGAGAGGAAGCTAGATAGGTATCTTTTTTTTTATTATCATATTTTAAGAGAATTTTAGATGAATTATTCTTAGTTTGTAACAAAAATGTGATATTTCTACTTTATATGTTTTATTAAGTATAACCAGAACATTATACTTATTTACTAGTACCGTTACTAATGAGCACATTGCTATTTATATATATATATATATATATATATATATATCTTTTTTTTCTTTTAAAAAATTTTCTTACTGAGAGTATGTGCAATAGTTGACTACTTTGCAGAACTGGTGGCAAATATAATTTGCATGGTAGTATGCATGATAAAAATTGAAATTTGAATAATTTTAACTTTTGTTAAGTAAGTGGTTTATAATAAAAGTCATATACTTAGAATTTTTCTGTGAGGTGCTGCTATGGGCTTGACAACCCTTAGAAGTAGGTTAGGCAAAACTCATATAAAATATACCTTGTTTTGGAACTGTTTCGCTGTTTTAACATTTTTACAAAGGAGAATAGCAGATAAACTCTAGTTGGCTACTTGTAATGATTTTTTTCCCTTAAAGCTTCCGTTATGTTTGTGTTCTGCCTTTTCCCTGATGTTAGCTGCAGAGCAGCCCTGATTTATTTCATATTAGCTACATTGCCTACTACAGTGCTTATCACACTGTCCTGAGATGGGGTTCTTCATTTAAATTCTTAGGAAACATTTTAAGTTATATTTATTGATTGTCATTTGCTTTTGAGTAGCACATAATTACAATGAGAGCAAACTGAATATATGGTAATGCTCCTGCTGTACATCACCTTGTGAAATACCGTTTACTCAGCTGCATGCGTCTGTATGGATCATTCAGTAGCTATTCTGTCATCACCGTCATTTGCTTTGTATGAAATAGCAGACGTTCCTTTTAATAATTCTCTTCATCTCTTGGCTACTTTTCCGTATAGCCAGCTCCTGACTGTCCATGCTTATTTGAGTGGAGCCAGTGTCAATGTTAGTCCTGAGTGGCAGATAATCCAAAAAATTACTCCTACTTGCCTTGGCTTTGTATTTATATTTGAATAATCAGCTTGAAATCCTTTCTGGAAGTAGGTGGGGTATAAATATTTATATCTGAGCCTGCATGTCATTGTTTGTGAAGGTTGCAGTGCTTCCAGTTTGAAAAGTGAAACTATTACACTAAGTTATAAGGGAAGTCTTCCTGTCCTGTCACGTTGGCCTCCGTGGCGTCTTAGAGTGTATTGTGTCGTTTCTGTGTAAAGCAGAAGCCGCCTCTGTTGGTGCACTCTCACAGGAGGGAGGGTAGCACATACCTGAGGGAGGAGATAACTTTACAAGCTCCGCCTTCTCTTACGCCCCCCTCCCTCCAAGAGTGTGCCAAGGTGTTTATCTCACGAGGGTTCTTAAGGAGAATCAGTAGCTGTGTAATCAGAACTTGAAAATAATATTTGCCTTACAATTCAATGTAATAACTAAAAATGAACTATTTGTATTAAAGTCTTACTATAGAATGGGAGGAATTTTAGTCAGTTCTAATTATTGCAGGAGTCTTATTTTGCAGGGTGGAAAAAATTAGGGTTAACTTTGATTACATCATATATTCTTAAGTGATCTTCGCTTGTTTTTCAGTGTCTCTGAAAACAAAAAGGTGAATGCATTATTAAATTGTACTTTTTCTTGATGTCATACAACCATATTTTTCTCTTCTAGAAACCAGGTGATGAGGAAAAAACTCATTTTATTTTTTAAAAGAAGAAATCATGCAAGGAAACAAAGGGTGAGGTCCTATCCTTGTTAACTGAAATTTGTGCGACTTTCCCGTCCGCGCTTCTTCAGGCATTCGCTTTCCCATTGTAGTGAGAACGGTTCTTGATCACACACGAGAACAGGTGCTGATTTAGACAGTAGCTATAGATGTGACGTAAATGTAAATCTAATTCTAGCAACATTTTGATGTCATAAATCACATTTAATATCATTATCAAATTAGTTTCTTTGGTCATCTGTGTATAACATTTTCATCTAGCCAAAATAAAGAAAATGGTGAGTAGTTAAAAAAGAAATATGAAAGAGAAATAGGATGATCTACACTTAGTCTCTTAACCCTCAAACAAATGTGGGTAAGTTATGGTCATGCTGATAAGACATCGCTGTTCTTTCTTATTAGAAACTGGGTCAGCTAAAGTTCATCTTTTTCAAATTCACATCGTTTTTCATATTTATTATATGACTTGCAGTCTAAAAATTTTGTGGTTATAATCTTCATGGAAATTAAGTTACAGAAAATATAATGCCAATATTCTTATTTTTATAGTGTGTTCCTACTAATTTTAGACAGACTATTAATTCATTTAAATTTTTTTTTAGTGAATAAATGATGTTCTTTGATTCACATCAGAAATGAACTTTGTACTTTGTATTTAAGGACCTGACAGTTTAATGAATTGTAAGGGTCAACAGCTTTTATTTGGTATATAACTTCTAATGTTCTAATTTGCCAGTCTAGTCCTTCAGATACTTTCTTAAATTACCGGTCTTGAATCTTTTTTATTTTTGCCAAGAGCATACACATACAAATAAGAAATTAGCTAAAGTATTTTTTTCTATCTGATCATTTTGTTGTAATTATGGTGTAATTGCTAAATTTGCTATCTGGAGACACAGACACAGAAGCATGGACTTTGTTTTCATACTTCACAGGGTATTTAGTTATGAAGTTTATATGTTCATTGATTTGCTTAATAAATACTTATTGGCTATTTCCTTTGTCCCATCTATTATTCTACAAAGGGAGCGGGCAGCCACGTGGTTTTAGCCCTTAGGGAGCCTAAGGAGTAAGGGGGTAGATGAGGCTGCAGGCGATTACAGTGTTGTGGTCTTACGATGGCACAGGATGTACAGACGACCATGAGAGCGTGTGAGGGGACAGCTGGCGCAGATAGGAATCATGAGGGGTGTTGCACAGGAAAACCAGTCCTCTGCAGACTTTCACAAGCAGTGGGAGCAGCTCACGGGAAGGTCTGGGAAGTGGAGGGAGTGTGGCAGGTTGGCGAGGGCTGGGCTTGGACTGAGCTGGGAGGGTGGCGAAGAGCGAGGCTGCGCGGGGAAGCCAGGGCCGGGTCGTGCACAGATCCTGAGGGCGGCTTTTAAGCGTTTGAGCTGAGGACGTGAAATGTTGGGCTCTGTGTTTTAAGAAATCGCATCTGACTGTGCCATTCGGGGTGCGTGGGAGTCGTTTAGGAAGGAGGCCGTTGCTTGAATCCAGATGAGACCGAGGGGCGGCATAGAGCTGAGCGCAGGGGGAGGCCCAGGAGTGGACAGGCTATGAGGAGACGGGGCATGGGGAAGGCAGTGCTTTCCCCTCGTGGCCGCTTCCTGGAGCTGACTGTGTGGCAGGCCCTTTCGTTGTCTCTTACCCACGGTCTGGGGCTTGTAGTGCACGGTTCTTTTTTTCTTCTCTGTTTAAAAAATGAGATCATATATTATTCTTTTCTCTAAAAGCATTCGTTCTCGATTTCATGTAGTTTACTGCATTTCTTTTTATCATAGAGAACAACCAATTTCTGCCTTTTCCAGACTGTCAAAAAAGTTCATTATATGGCATTATTTGTAGTAAGAAAAAACTGCAAGTAACCAAAACGTCCAGCAGTAGAGGGATGGTTTAAGTGTGAGTGTTTTCTCTGACCTATTGGAAGGATAACAACAAAATGTTAATCCGCTTGCCTTTGGGATTATGAACTATTTACATGTTTCTATTTCTCATTTTCCATTTTTTTTGACAGTGAAGATGTAATTGTTATCAGAGTGGCTCATCATTTAGTTTGTTAATTTGTGTAGTCTTAATATTAACTAAAACATCCAGCCACGGTAGGCTCTATGTGTTGATCTTTCCTAGAAAACAGCTCCCTTTCTTTCTCTTCTTTCAGATCAAGGACAGCTTTTCATTCACAGTTGAGTCATAGGCCACATGTACTTCTGACTTAGCCTTAAGAAGTAACCTTTACTTTAAAGTATTAGGTTTGTCAGAATCACAGAGTTTAGTTTAATTATTAATTTGCTACGGGTATTTAATAGGAGCAAAAAATCTGCCAACGTTATGATCAGCTCATGGAGGCATGGGAGAAAAAAGTGGACAGAATAGAAAATAATCCTCGGAGGAAAGCTAAAGAAAGCAAAACAAGGGAGTATTATGAAAAGCAGTTTCCAGAAATTCGAAAACAAAGAGAACAGCAAGAACGGTTTCAGCGGTAAGTGGTTTGATGTTTAATGGCTATGCTATTTTCCTTTGAATCATACTTTTGATCCTTCACAATATTTACTGTTACCTGAATCTAATCATTAAGAAAGTTCATAAAGAACTTTTATTATGTTTTTCCTCTTTTTTTCCCAATGGAAGTATAGTTGGTTTACAGTGTTGTGTTAATTTCTGCTGTATAGCAAAGTGATTCAGTTATACATAGATAAACATTCTTTTTAATATTCTTTTCCACTATGGTTTATCACAGGATATTGAATACAGTTCCATGTGCTATACAGTAGGGCCTTGTTTATCCATTCTATATATAATAGTTTGCATCTGCTAATCCCAAACTCCCAATCCATCCCTCCCCTGCCCCTTGGCAACCACAAGTCTGTTCTCTGTGTCTGTGAGTCTCAGAACTTTTATTTTGAATATAAAACTTAATTATCAGCTAACCATGTTTATGCCTTAGTGAATTTAACATTAATTTTTTATATTTAATCATGCTGTTGAATCTAAATTTAAGTGAATAGTTTGAAATTAATTCTTCAGTTCTTGAAAACGCTCATTCCTTTGGAAATGACAGTTAGTAAGAATAGACTTGCATGTCTCACAGTTCTTTGTCACCTCCCAACATGATCAAAACTCTTAAATTGATTGCTAATTGAGAAATTCTTTGTTATTGGTATGTAGTTTCTGATTTCTTTTTACTGTTAGAGAACAAGTACTTTTGCAAAGGTAGAAGCTTTAGTTTTCTTCTCCACTGTCTCATGAAAGCCCCGTTAATCACAGTCAAGTTTCTGTCAGGGATGATGATTGTGTTTTTTCCCCATCCCTTTAAAAATGTTTTGTGTATTTTTCTAAGTCTGCTATCCTGTTCTCTGGAAGGCAGACAAAAGACTGCTATTTGAGATGAAAATGACACCAATAACTGTAGTTTTCCAGAAGTTTCCCATAAACAGTTCTGCCATGGGAACTTAGACATGTAACCTTTAAAAAGAAATCTTAGCATTTAAATTGTTACTAATTTTATAGATAAATGGCTTAAACATATTGCTTAAAAGTAGTTTCTCAGTAGCATTGTAGGTTTCTTCTCTGACTTCTAGTTGATTAAAAAGTCCCATTCAGAAAAGAAATCGATGTAAAAGTAATCTAACTGATATGTCTTCTTTATAAAAGGCCTTTAAATATATCTAAAATTTCTCCCTCATATTTAGAGTTGGGCAGAGGGGAGCTGGTCTTTCAGCCACCATTGCTAGGAGTGAACATGAGATTTCTGAAATTATTGATGGGCTCTCTGAACAGGAGGTAAGACAGTTAATTGATTTAATTCAAGTTAATTGATTAATTATTCAGGCATTTTAGCCTCATACCCCATAAACTAAGGGTTTATTTGTATATAACTGAGGGAACACTTATGGTGTTTGAATTGTTCCAAAGTTTGTGGCCAACCATCGAAGGTTTTAAACAAGGCTGTCCTGTGATCATATTGCCATTTTTACGAAGACGGCTTTGGCAGCAGGGAGGCCTGGAAAGAGGTGAGGAGGCTGTTATGATAAAAATAAGGACCTGAGTCAGGGCGACAGTGGTAGAAATGTGTAGGAAGGGCCTGGTGGAGAGATTTGTAGAAGGCAGAGTGGACAGGACAAGTGTGGGATGAGAAAGAAGAGCAGGTTGGAGGACTGAGCTGCTGGTGCCGTTTCCTAGAAGAACAAAGGAGTGTGTACTTTGCAGGTGTTTGTATGTTGGGTTGTGGACCTGAGGTTTGGGGGGATGTCCAGAGTGTGATCTCTAGCCAGCTGAGATCTGATCTGTTATTAATAAATCGGTTCTGAGTAAGAATAAATTTCTGTTCCTAACAGTGAATCTTCGTAGCTGTTTTCAAACTATCTCTGAAGGTCGGTCCAAAAACCATATATTGAGTTTTGCTAGTTTTGGTTTTATAATATGGCTTTTAAAAAAAACCTCATCTCTAAATTCTGAAAGTCATGCTTCTTTGAACATCGTGGTCCTCTTAAGTAATGAAGACAATTATTATATTGCTATACATTTCAGAATTTGTGGCCATAATCTCTGCAGTGATGACTAACTCTGTGTGAAATTTCTTTGCTCACTTTGACTGATTCTATAAGGGGGGGGGGGGCATCTGTAAACAGCCAAAACTAGTATCAGGTGAGGTGATTTCAAGCTGATGTGTCTGTCCCAAACCACACTCTGGTGTTCAGACTGATTGATGAGTACCCATAAAATTAGAACCTTTGTAAGGATTTTACTCTAAGGCGATGTCTGCTTCTAGGAGAAGAGTTTCAGGAAAAAAACCTAGCCTTGTATTGAGGTCAGTACTTACACTTTTTGGTAAAAGTTTTCTCATGGAAGTTTGCGCTTGTAAACTTACTGAATTAAACTGTGGGAAAAATAAATTGTATAACTGTAACCTAGTTTTAGTTGAAATTCTAAGGATAATAGTCTTAAATTTGCAATGGAAAGATTATGTAAGATTAGCAAGAAGTGTTTAATACTTAAGGAAGTTTAGTTAATTTCAAATCAATGACCTTAAGGTTTCGGTTCCTGTCTGCTTATTTTTCTATTTTATTATTCTTTAAAATGATGTTAAGACTTTTTAAAATGAGGCAATATTAATTAGTAAGTGCTTCATGAGATCATTACTTCAGTGACCTGACATTACTGTGTGTCCTTTAGGTCTAAGATTCATTATTTGAAGTATCAGCTTCCTTTAAGGAAAGAGCTCTTCTCAAATTGTAGTAGTGGATTATAAAAAAATAATACCTGTACTCTCTGCCTCTGTTATTCATGCAATGAGTATTTATTAGATAATATGTATAATTACTGTATGTTAGATGTTATGGTACCACTGCTGTTGTCATTAAAGTACATACGTGGTGTTTCACTGTCTGTTAAGACAGTTGGTCTGTGGCCCTTTTTAAGTTTTATTCTCTGTAAATTGCATTTTTTTTCTTTTTTCTTTTTTTTTTTTCAGAATAATGAGAAACAAATGCGACAGCTCTCTGTGATCCCACCTATGATGTTTGATGCAGAACAGAGAAGGGTCAAGTTCATTAACATGAATGGGCTTATGGAGGACCCTATGAAGATTTATAAAGATAGGCAGTTCATGAATGTTTGGACTGACCATGAGAAGGAGATCTTTAAGGACAAGTAATTTAAATTTTAAATTACTCTCTAATAGAAGCTTACATAAGTTAGTGAAAAGTATTGGCATTTACTTGTAAATTGAACTGTTTCCCCCAAAACTTGACCCCATTTTGGCATTTGAGTGGGTACTGTGGAAGTCAGAAAAGACAGATTTGATATGACCTTCCTGTAAGTTTATGGGTGGGAATGTAGGTACCAGGTAAGAACAGGGTTGTGGAGTCATTTTAAGAGTGGTACCCAAACCTGGGCGGTGCCCTATTCACCCGGGGGTGCATTTTAAAGTTACAGATTTCTGTGCTCTACTGTATTCCAATCCAGTCAGTTCCTGGCAGACGGTGCCCAGGAATCTGTGCCCTTTAAGAGGACATTAGCATTTAGGAGTCGCTAGAAATTAGTCTACATTATATTTCTATTCCCAAGGGCTTTCCCCGTCTTTTTAAGTTGTTAAAATGTGTGTGTGTTTTTTTTCTTTCACTCAGGTTTATCCAGCATCCAAAAAACTTTGGACTAATTGCATCTTACTTGGAAAGGAAGGTAAGAAATGGCTTGCACTGAGAATGTCTGTAGGTTTGTGGTGGTTGCTGCTTTGAAGCTTTTGTGCCTAGTACACAGAAGTAGTTAAATAGAATTTTTGCAAAGGGCTTGACACAGAAAAGATTCTCATGGGAATAGTATAGTGATATTTACAATTATATGATGACCAATTCTAAGCACAGAACACAGGCTAATTTTCATGGTTAATCAAAAATGACCTGATATTGTATTTCCCTAAAAAAACATAGGTTGCAGTGTTTTTTGAACCTCATTAAACTTCTAATTAAAATTTCAGAGTCCTGATTTTCCCTGAAATTTTTTCACAGTGGGTTGGATGTTGGGTTTGTGAGCAAAGTGAGACATTTTGAATATTTACGTATATAGAGGAAGAAAGAGAATTTAGTTACTCGTAAAGAAGAAAGTGCTTGAATGTTTCTGATAGTTCCTGGTATCTTTTACATAATTTGTATTAAGACAGCTGTAATTGTCCATCAAGATAGTAGACACTATATGTATGTATTTTTACAGCCTAGATATGCCTTAAAAAGCTAGCCATTTGGGGTTTTCCTCATTTTATACTTTGAGAACACCAGAGATTTTCCTTGAAAAGTGTTATTTGATATTTTTGAAAAATTTTATTTCATTGGATCCTCAAAAATAATTTTTTTTTTTTGGTAGAGTGTTCCTGATTGTGTTTTATATTACTACTTAACCAAGAAAAATGAGAATTATAAAGCCCTAGTAAGAAGGAACTATGGAAAACGCAGAGGAAGAAACCAGGTATGTTTCATTATTGTATGAAACAATTTCAGGGTTGGTGGAAATATGAAGATGAAAAATTTTATAGCAGGAGCCTTATGTGTAATAAGATGTGCTTTAGGAATTGACGTTTCTATTAAATTAATTAGGATGTTATGATTATTTTGAATATATATTTAATGTGTTATATTTTCTACTTTGAATGCATTTTAAGTTTCTAGTATAACAAAATTAGTGAGAAGGTTTATATTTTCATGCTGTTGAAATTGTGCATGTCAAGAGTTAACAATAATAATGTAATTAAATATGAGAACCGTGACAGCCTATTAAATATACCACCTTTTCCAGTCCTTTTGTCTGTGGAGGGGACAGGTAGAGTAAGGGAGAGAAGTACAGCATGGTGACTAGAGTACAGGGTTGTTTACTGAAATACCTGGGACCTGATTGTGTTTCAGGTTAACTTTATTTCTGGGGTTAAAGCACTTGACCTCAAAAGATTGTTTTTAATGCAGTGCAGTATGTGTTTTCACAGTCGCAGTTCAGTACTTTAGAAACTCTTTTCCTTCAAGTAGCTGATCAGCCGCCGTCACAGCTCCCATCTGTTCTTCCTGTACGCCCCACACCCTGAGACGGCTTGCAGGATGCGTGGCACGTGTGGGCGTGGACGGCTGCTGCCATCTTCAGCATTCCTGACGCTCT